AATAGTCTATTGACAACAGTTTCTGGGAAATGGCATGGAAGGCTATAGAATACACAGTTTTGGGTTACACCCATACCATGATGAACTGGTCTCAGTTGTCCTAACTAGGACACTGGGGGTTTACAGTCCTGCATTGTCCTGACCTGCCGAGGGCAAAGGTGTGTTTTGCCCCTGTTGAAAACAATGTAAGATCACAGGCAGCCCAAGGTAGTGACCAAATGTAACAGATGTGGATTTGAAATGAGCTTTGGCACATGCAGCTGATATGGCTTTACAGGAACATAAAAACCTGCCACTGTCCCAATGCTGACATATTAATCACTGAGTAGGTATGTGAGTATTTTCCAGCTTAGGCCAACTAGATATTTGCTATTGACAAAAACGATTTTCCTGAGGAATTCTGAAAATAAAAAGCAAAAGAAATTTCACATACACACATAGGCTGAGGACATTGATTTGCTACTTCTTAGGCCCAGGTGACTGTGTCACATCAGTGCTCATGGGACAAACACATCCCTGCACTCCAGGCAGTGTCAGGGTGCTGAAGAAAAATTGACTGAGGCAGCTTCATGATTCAGAGGCAGCATTCAGCCATTACACAGCTTATTAAAGGGCTAAAGGATATGTGCACCAGGACAGAGCGTGATGAACACAAGCAGAAGTTCAAAGTAGCTTGGAAAAACCCCTGCAACTGTAAGCAAATACGTTGCTTTATGTTTGAGACCTTGTGGAGTGCTCAAACAAAGTAACTGTTTTTATTATGTTTGGCATTTGCTCACCAGTTCATTACTGATTGTTTTTGACACTGGAAGAAAGTCCAAGCTGCACTTGCTGCATGAAGGGAGGGTGACAACGGGGGTGAAGCTGCCACCTCCCCACCCCACAGGGCCTTACCCATGTCACCTTTATGGGGCTGCTTAGGAATTGCAATGCTCCAACTAGGAGAGGTTTGTCTCTGTTCAGTCTTCACTACACTTTAGAAATTAATTAATTTAGAGATTCTACCTGTGGTGTCCCAACCCCTGCACCTTTGCCACCAAATGTGCCCAGTGGTGTAACCTGGGGCACAGGCTGATGGCACCAGCCCCACCAGCCCCAAAGGCAAATCCTTTCCAGATAGCGCAGCACAGCTGCCCAAAGTACCACTGTCACACAGCAGTTCACGGCAGCGGGTCTCGCTGCCACCTATCCCTCCTTCCAGCAGGCAGCGGTGCGGGATCATCTTGTCCCATGGCCCTGCTCATCTTCAGGGTGACGCGAGGGGCACGGTTTGCTCCCCGTGGGTGGTAGCAGAGGTTGCACTGGAGATGTAGAACACCGGGAACAGTGAGGTGCTGGCAGCTCCGGCTATGGCGTGGGGCTGGTGCCAGCCTTCCCCTGGGACCTTTTGTCCTCTCCTGGGTGTCCCGGGGTCTGTGCCCGGGGGGGATCCCGGGCTGTGTACGCGGGGTCAGTGCCCGTGGTGGGTGCCCGGGGGTATCCCGGGGTGTGTGCCCGCAGTGTGTGCCCAGTTTGGGTACCCCGGGGGTATCCCAGGATACCGCGGTGCGTGCCCAGTTTGGGTACCCCGGGGGTCCCGCGGTGTGTGCCTGGTTTGAGTACCTCGGGGGTATCCCAGGATACCGCGGTACGTGCCCAGTTTGGGTACCCCGGGGCATCCTGGGGTGTGTGCCCGGTTTGGGTACCCCGGGGGTCCCGCGGTGTGTCCCCAGTGTGCGTGTGTGCGTGGGCACCCCGGGGGTATGCCTGGGTGTGTCCCCGATGTGTGTGTGCCCGGTTTGGGTACCCCGGGGGTCCCGCCGTGTCCCACGTCCCCGCTCCCCGCTGCCTTCGCTCCCCGCGCTGCGCTGCCCGCTCCTCCCGCCAGGGGCCGCTCTCCACCCCGCCTCCGCCCGCCGCCACCGCCCCTCGCGATGCACGCCGGGAGTTGTAGTCCGCTGTGGCCCGGCGGGCGGCGCGGCGCGCGCTGGGGCGGCGGGCGGGGACTTCCTTTCCCAGCGGGCCGTGCGGCGCCGGCCCGGCCGTGCCTTTTGAATGATTTCACTGCGCTCGGCGCTCGCGGCGGGAGGAACCGGGAGGATTCGCGGCGGGAGCAGCGCCCGCCCGGCCCGTCGATGGCGGCCCCAGCGGGCCCTGCCGTGGCCGCCCGCGGCCCCCGGCGCTGTTAGGGAGCGGGCAGCTGGGCTGCGCCTTCGCCCCTTCGCCCACCGGCCCCCCCCGCCGCCGACATGTCGCTGGCCATGGAGGAGGAGGAGTATTCCCGGCTGGTGATGGAGTCGGAGCCCGAGTGGCTGCGGAGCGAGATCAAGCGGCTCTTCCAGGAGCTGGGCGAGACCACCCGGGAGAAGATCCAGGCGGCGGAGTACGGGCTCGCCGTGCTGGAGGAGAAGCAGCAGCTGAAGCAGCAGTACGAGGAGCTGGAGCTGGAGTACGAGACCATCCGCACCGAGATGGAGCAGCTCAAGGAGGTGAGGCGGCGGCGGCGGGGCCGGTTCGGGGCCCGGGGGTGCCGGGGGGACGGCCGGGAGCCCGGGCCTTCTGCGGGCACGGCGTTTGAGCGCTGCCCCACAGTGACAGCGCCGGGCTGCGGGCCGGCCGGGAGAGGGAAGGGATGGGGTGGGGAAGAGAAAAGGCCTTTCTGCCTCGAGCCCCGCCGCTGTGCCGGGGATGTGCGAGGGAGGGGACGGAACGCTTTTCTTTCTCCTCCCGTCCGGCCTCGGGCGCTGGTGGCTGTGTCAGGCCGGGGAGCCGGGCCGGGGCTGCCTCCCCCACCCTGCCCGGGGCCGGGACCAGGGGGAGGTGGTAGTGCTCTCATGCCCCTGCTTTTGTGTGGGGAGAGGAATCTTGTGTCGCTGTTAAATCACCTCCTCAGTTGGGGACCACTGCAAAAATAAACCAGCAGGCTTTAGTTCGCATGATGTTTGGTTTGGTGCAGTTCCGTGTCGTTGGCGTATTTTTTTTTATTATTATTATTTTATTTTCTTATAAAGGAAAATCCAGATCTAATCTGTACAGTAGAGTAAGGTTTGTCAGGAGAAACGCCGTATTGGTCAATTGGCACATAAAATTTCTCTTGTGTAGAACGTGGGAAGAGTCACAGTACACAGACTGGTGGTTTGCTGTCCTTGTGAGCTGATCCCCTGCCAATCCACTCCCTACCCTGTCCCTTGGGAAGTTATCTGACTGCCTATAGCCTTGGTTGGTCCGGTGATTTGCTGTGCAGGAAAACCCTGTGCTGCTTTGCAGCTGATTTAGGCCTTGCCTTGTTTGCAGCCTACATGGATTTATTTGACCCGTGCAAACCGTATCCAGTGGGGCTTTACTTTAACTCATTCAGTTGAAAATGGATTTCAAGTAAAATCAAAATACGCTATTTCGAAGGGCAAGTAAATACTTGGAATGGACTGGTACAAATTCAGTTGAATCTGTGAACGCTCTCCCTTCCTGCCTCCTGTGTGTCTTTTCGTTTTGTAAATAAAGCTTTATTTTGTTTTTATTATGTTAAACCAGCATAAGCAAAGAGGTTAATAACTTTGAATTACATGGCTATGAACTTGTTAGCTAAACATGGGAGCTGAACTGATTGTGCTGCTGTTCCTAAAGCCACTTGAGGTAGCAGGGTTACAGCAGCATAACAGGAGTAGAGGTGTGGAAGCCAAGGGCAGTGGCAGTCTTGAAAAGAAGGTAAGAGCTGTAGAGTTGAGCTCAAGGGAACAAAAAGTCAGTAAACTCATTAGGTGGGTGGGATGGGAAACATGGCATGGAGGGGTGAAGGGGCTGCCCCAACCTCAGTCAGCAAGGCAGTTGGAGGCAGGTTGCCTCAGTCACAGGTGGTGCTTTAGTCACTGGATTGTGCTGTGTATGTTTGGGCATTATGTGTTTTGGCTCTCAGGTGGAAAAAGGCTTGATGATAACGTCTTTTCATCCTTTCAGGGCTGCACCACTTGAGAAGCTTGTGAAAGAGATTAAAAAAAAAAAAAAGAAAGAAAAAATGGCAGGATCAGCAATGATTCACTCCTTTTTGCTTTTAACATGCCGAAGGATTTGCTTTGTGTATGCATGTCCCATTGTAATTAAATCAAAACCTGGGAGGCAAACAGTTCTGGGAACAGCTTGAAGACTGTTAGTTATCCTACACAGGGAAAGAGCACTGCTCCTCTAGCTCTCTCGTGATGCTGTGGGGGAATCTGATCTTGTAAAACCTTTAGCAGATGCACGAAGCGTGCTCTCAGAGGGGGAGTTTATCATCTTTGCTGTTTATGCAACTTCTTGTTTTTCCCCGGCACGGCTGGGGGAGTGCTGCACACCAGACCTACCACGTGGCAAGCTCCAACCAAAAGGGCCTCTCCCCTGGGTCACCTGTTCTTGGGGAATGCAGGGGATTGATGGTGGCATGTCAGCCTAGAACGGGAGTGCTTTCCATCTCTTGCCTCTTAACTGTGACTTCGTGCAGCCTTTGAAAATACAGCCCTTTTAGTCTCTAGAGATCTTATTTTGCTCTTCTACGTTGCGAGACGTTGGCAGCACGAGGCCATGTTAGGCAGGGTGCAGGGCAGGCACGCAGCACTTTCCTGTCCTGCTGGGTGTTGTAGATTTGGATGTGCTTTATTTTGTTTCATCTTATGAAGCACCCCCATGTCATAGCCCTGTTCATACCGCAGGTAAATGGGCTCTGAGCATGAGAACTCTGTAGCACAGTTTGTTGAAAGTACAGGCTTTTCTGCTACAGTCATCAGGTCTTTCTGGCCAGGTTCTCCTCCCTGCCCCCCATCCCTGACTGTGGCAGATACACTGTTGTATCCCTTTGAGAGCAAAAAAATCCTCAGAGCTGTACCAAGACATCTGTGTACACCCATTGTTTGCAATCCAAGTTGTCCTGGTGAAAATGGAGAGCTGTCCTGTCCTGGCACGGAGGCTCCACACCAACCAGTTTTTAACTGGGACTGAGTCTTCCCTAAGTTATTACTTTTACTTGTATGTGTGCTGACTTGATCTCATATCTTTTATGGTAATTTGGGCTGCGTTTCTTCTATCATTTTCATTTGAGAGAACAAAATTTAAATACAAACTGTCTCCCCATCTTCAGTACCACCTTTGCTTTTGTAAAAGGGAACTGATTTCATACTTCATTGAAGATGATGATAAATGTTTTCCCTAGTTCAGAGAAATAAGCTACTGGCTTTTTTGTAGTGAAATACTACACATCACATTGTATACATATAATTTCCCTGATGGTTTGTGGGGGAATGTAGCATGGAAGGTTTGCTTGAAAAAGGGGTTATCTGCTTCGCTCGATACTTTGGAGTTGCTTCGAGGTGTCAGTCGGATTTAGGACCAACTACTAGCTCAGCTATGAAACTGGCTGCTGCTCAAAGCTCCTTTCTGATTGCTTGGTTATGTTGTGTTGGTGGTGGTAGAATTGTGTTTAAATCTCTAGGAAAACACAGGCATTGGGATTGATTATTTCTGTAATAATGCAAAGGTTCACAAGTAGACTGTGTCTGTTTTTAAAGTCTAAAAGCACGTGTCAGTGCACCACAGTGTGATATATATGGTTTGTATGTGGTTTTAAGAGAGGAACAAGCTTACAAGAACACTGGCAATGATCTGCACTGGGCTCTTTATTTCTTTTTAGGCCGACAGTGGCTCTCGATTCTGTTTTTCACCTTTAAGGATCATGCCTTGACTTTATGCCATGCCATGCCATCTCTGTAGGTGATTCCTGGGTAAACCCGGGAGCTGTCTTGGAAAGAAACATTCAAATAACACTCTGCTAAAATGGCTAAGATAAAGTTACCTAACAAGCCAGTGACAGACTGAGATTAGACCCTCTGTGCTCATAGTTCAGTGCTGGATTGACTAAGACTTTCTGTTTAATCATGGTAAATAATGATGTGCAGTAGCAATACCTCTAAGGCCTCAGCTATGCCTCTGCAGCCTCCTAATAAATATTCAGCTGTAATATTGATTCCTGCTGAAAGAGAAGGACCTTAATGACATTTGAGGTTACTTCTAACCTTGCAGCATAGTTAAAATCAAAGGGTTTAATGCATAAAGTAAAGGAAATGTTTCTTTAAATAGACCATCTGGGGAGAAGTTTAATTCTGGTTATACGTATGTAAGTCTAGAATAAGAAAATGCAACTGCAAATTGGTGTTAGGGGACTGATACCAGTTTTGCACATACTAATAGAAAATGGTTATACTTCTGTGAACCTGTCTTGGAGATTTAATGGACTCCAACACCTGCCACACTTAAATGTTAGAAGAGAACACAACTGCTCTCTCTAGTGTCAAATCAGATTGAAAACTATAGGTGGGATGAGGAAATTATTCCTGTGTAAAATAAACTTCTTATATTTTGATACATCATAGTTGGTTTGCATGAAGAATAGAGGCACCTGTAAGTTTAATCTGATATTTGCAGTGTTATAGACACTTAGTGCTGTGTTTTGGAAAAGCTGCTTTTCTCACATATCCTTCTTTTGCAAAAAAGTAAAGCCTGAAAAATTAAACATTCCAATTTTTCCTGCTGTACTGGAAATAGTAACTTGTAAGGCTTCATGTTACTGGCTTAATTTTCTTTACCAGTGTTCCTTGAGCTCCTTTTCTTAAAAATAAGAAATAATATTCTTGAAGTGACGATTTCCGGTTACTTAATGAAACTGCTGAATGTTCTTCTTGGGCTTCCTGTGATAAAGTTCACTATACCTTATGTAATGGGACATCCATAAATATTTGGGTGAACAGCAAAGACTGCCAGGTGGAATTAATTTTTAATGTTTTTGTTTAGAAACATATTTCTGGGGAAGTGGTTTTCCGTTAAGCTGCTGTAGTCTCGGCTGGGAGAAACACATCATGTTTCGCTTTTGGTGCCTTGGGCCAGAATAAAGGGCTGGCCCTGACCCTCCAGCAGCCATTAGATAATTTGTTTCTAATTTTCTACATTAGAATAAACTCAAGGTTTCACGGAACCGAAGTTTGGAAACAGTAGTGCAATTTGCTACCTATTTTTCCCCCGGATGTGTGGCAGCGCTGGGTGTTTCCTGTCCCGTGGAGGGGACACAGTTAAACTACACTGTGGAACCGAGCCAGATCTGCTTTATTATTTTTCTTCCTTTTGTTTTTGTCTTTGAATTAGGTCACTTCCCCAGTTTGGGTCAGTGTACATGGTTGTGCAGGTACCAGCTCACCAAGGGCACGTTAAAGCAGCACCAAAGGGGTGATGAGGAGCATCTTAAGCTGCTCTTGGTGCTGAGCACAGTGGGGGACAGCTGCGTGTTCCCACAGCCCTGAAGGGGAGGTGTGTGCAGCCCCCGCTGTGTCAGACATCCTGCCTGAAAGTCTCAAACCCACAGCCACTGGTGTTCTGTCACGTGGGCTGTTGTGGTTTGCTCCTTACAAATCTTGATTCTTGGTTGTTGTTTCAGCATTTGCGGGAAAGCGCTTGGTGGTTTCAGGGGTAATAC